GGGAAAGAGCAAAAGCTCAAAGTGAATTAAATGTTTCGTTGAAGAAACATATCTGAAAATGTTTTTGCTATTTAACCCAGCTCTGTAATCAAGGCAAACCCGACTGCTGAGGGCTAGTGAAGGACAAGTGTTAAGTTCGGGATAACTGGTGGAGACAGCTGGTTTCTCAAATCATGAATTCCCTGACTGCAGATCCCACAAATGTCACTACGCATGAGAACGAAATGGCCGGATGCCTTTGAGTCAATTGACTTCATGGTGCAGGGTCAAGCCCAAAACGAGATGTTTTGTAAAAGTAAGAATGTGCCAGTCGCCTAGCATCTTAATTAAATTCATGGGAGGAAGTATCGCATAGCACACTGGCAAACCTACAGGCTTCTGGTTGGAGTTATTTGAGGCCTAAATCCTGTCTGGCAGGAGAACGGACTCGTTGGCTTGATCGGTTGCTTGCTTCTTAAATGACATTTGTCTTACTTACGGGCTGACTAGTTTCACTTGCTGATATCGCTGCATCCAAGACAGCATGCCGCTGCCTCTTTTCATGAGTTTTCTCCTCCTTGCTCATAGCTTTCCCTGTGCTCGCAGCCCCCGGCAGTCTGCTGTCATCAATGGTGCCATTATCTGGACCCAGGTGTTGAGAACGTAGCTGCTCGGCGGGTTGTCACCGAGCAAGCATAACTACAATGCGCGATAGCGATTAACATCCTGCACTGTCGGGAGAGCAGCAAACGGCATCTATGGCCGTTCCTGGCTGGGGGGGGCATCGTGGGAACAACCATAGAGTTGGCTAGTTGCAGAGGAAGAGAGCGGTGCCAAAAAGCACCTCCCGCCCGGGGTGATTTAGGAAGTCCAGATGTCCGTTCAGCCTGCATAGGTGACCACAGCAAGTGGGGAGGCTCCTGGGGGCTTTGGACGTCTCACTGGGGCTGATCTGTATGAAGAATAAATGTAAAACCTGTCCAGTGCTTGGACTCAGCCCTAAACTTTTATCGCTGGGTTTTGAAACCACTGATTCCCTCCCGTGGAGTTAGGTTGTTTCGTGTTGCTGCACCTTTGTGCCACCCAAACAAGACCACAGGCTCCTGACGGCTTTTCTGCAGCCAGGCCCTGCCCACGCTGCTCACTGCCTTGCTTTTGCATAATCCACTTTTCCACGTGGCGAGAGTCTCTCACTTGCACGGTCCATGGATGCGTGCTCTTGACGCCCGTGCCTAGGGGCAGCCCACAGGACTGTGTGCATTCACCCCTTCAGTAACTCCACATAGAGATCCATTTTGATGATCTAGAGTGGCAGCAGGGAAATGTTAATCTGCATAAAACAGCTTTCTTTTAGGCTCCAGTTTTTCTCCACCACTCTCCTAATGTGCGATTCATCGGTGGGGTTGTGGGTTTGCAGCTTTCAGGAGAGAGCGTTGCTCTAGCAGGCCGCGTCTGCCGTGGTGCAGAGTGATTTCATTTAAGAAACAAGGGTGGGCTTTGCAGCTTGCTTTCATTCCTTCCAGATGGAGACAGAGTACAGTCAGCTGAAGGAGCTGTGTGACCGGCAGGCCGAGCAGCTCACCAGAACCAGCCAGAAGCTGCAAGAGAAAACCTTGGAGTACGATGCCGAGATCAAGAACCTGAAGGAGACCATCTTTGATTTGGAGGACCAGGTGGAGCAGCACCGTGCCATCAAGCTACACAACAACCAGCTCATCAACGACCTGGAGAGTAGGTGGAGCAGACGCGGAGCTCAGGCAAATGTGTCCAGGGGGAAGGGCTCAGACACAGCCTGCAGGAATAACTGAGTTGGGGGATTTTCATGTCGGTAACCTCCAGCTGAAAGGAGGATCACCCAGCCCCAGATGCTGGATTTGAAACTGGGCATGCTGACCTCCTTTGTAGAGCATTTGTGAGACTTACTGATGAAAAGCACTTATTAGTTAGCGGCTATTATTAATTTTCAAGGCGCGGGAATGGGAAAGTGCCACCCGGTGGCCTGAGCCTGTTTCTCCTGCCAGTCTTATACGGCTGCAGTGTTGCTGGGTTGATGGGCCGGGAAACGGGCGATAAGCAAGGGTTTTTTGGCAACATCACTTATTACCTGTTTCAAACTGTATACGGTCGGTTCAGTAAAAGAGGTCCCCAAAAACCCTTTGCTTCTTGCAGTGCTTTATGGAAGACTGAAAGTACCCAGTGGATACATACCGTGCATTTGTTCCTAGTAATTCCCGTGTCTCGAACGATGTCCAGGAGCTGGCCATTCATTTCCAATTCACTGTTGATCCTGTCCCTGGTATACTTAACAGCTGGACACAGCGAGTTTTATTCAGTTTAATACTCCGGTTCTGTTACTGCAAACGTAACCTAGAATGCCGCTTCGCCCTTTTCCTAGGCTGTCCTAGGCAAAGCCTTGGCTGGGATGGTGGAGTTGGGGCTGGTCCTGGTTGGAGCAGGGGGTTTGACTGGATGTGACCTCCTGAGGTCTCTTCCGTTGTCTATGATCCTGTGATCAATGATTGCTCCATCATTGTCTATAATTCTGTGATCATCCCACTCATCGTATTTTCCCTCCGGACTATTCCCAGGTAAAGTGATGAAACTGGAAGATCAAAAGCTGGATCAGGAGAAGCAGCTGAAGGCTCTGACCAAACAGATGAAGGTGAGGCTCATGCTCCTCAACCGAGTGAAGGCACCGGCTGCGGTTTCCCTGGAAGGCTAGCTTTGCCAGAGGCACCGCATGCTGCTTCAAGGGACTCATTTGCAGGCTATCAAAACACCTAAACACACCTGTCCACCCCATTTTCACTCTCCTGTTCGGTTCCAGCTGAGTTTGACCCATTCTTTGGCTAAAGGGGGAAAACACGGTAGAGACTGGTCTAGTCGCTTTGTTACCATTTGGCTGCACAGCTTCTGTCAGTATGCTTGTTAAGAGGTGGCAGGCTCTTATCAGATGCCATCGCCCTCTGTCAAGCACAGAATAACGCACCCAAGTTCGTATCTGACCGGGTCTGGCACTGCCAGGTACAGGCGCCTGTGCCAGCACCAAGGAATCGACCTATTACTTTGGCATCTCAAAAGCATTCCTTTACAAACAAGTAAGAATAATCGTTATCACTTGGCATATTGCCTTTCACACGCAGAAGATAATAACACAAGAGTTCTTCAATAAGAGATCACTGACCATCGTGGCAAGCAAAGCCCCTTTGCAGTTGGTGATAGAGTAAGCCTGCTAAAGTTCGCTGCAGACCTAAAGATAACGTGGCTTTGTGTCTGTGCTCCGAAAAAGCCCATGTGCACACAGCCTCCGGCGTCAGTAGGAGATCTGCGTGCTGACATGGCCCTTAATCTCCAGAAGCAACTCCTGGAATAAATATATTCATAAAGTACTACATTCCCATAAAAAAAAATGCTAGTGCCCATAAATATGTCTGTACCAGGGTCCAGAATTGCCAGCATCGCCTGGTTCCTGTGTGTGCACATCTTGTCCCCAAAAGGGGGAGCAAGTAAGGGAGTGTTTGAAGGAGTTGAGGAGTAGCACGGGTGGCCCTTTCATTTGCAGCCACTGTCTTAAAAGGTCCAGAGGCCTGGTGGTGCTTTCCCCACTTTGTAATCCCCGGTGCTATGTAGCTGTTGATGTAAAACAGATGCGCTCTGCTCCCCCTCACTTCCCGTCTTGGCCATCCCGTCACACCTTTATCGAGTGCCAAGCATCTAAAACAGGCTTAGGACTGTTCTGAGGCCTTTTCACAGCCTTCATGAGTGATTACTGATGAAGGAATCAGTCACATGTAATGCACCCAACTCCAGTGGGTCCATCCACCCTGATGCTCAACTTCGGTGTATGTGCCATATTTAGGAGGATGCAGAGGAGTGGAGGCGTTTTCAAGCCGATCTGCAGACTGCGGTGGTGGTGGCCAATGACATCAAGTGCGAGGCCCAGCAGGAGCTGCGTGTGGTGAAGAGGAAGCTCCAGGAGGAAGAGGAGAAGAGTGCCAGGCTGCAGAAGGAGCTGGACGACGTGAAGGGCAGCAGCAGGTTGGTCACTCGCAGGGATCAGGTCCTTCATCTCCGTGACTGCAAATGTGCATGTAGACAGCGCTTTGCCTCTAACCATACTTTGGCCTGGACATGCATGCTGTCTGTTTTCAATCCCTCTAGCAGGTTTTGTCGTCTTTTATTCTGAGATGTGTCTGGTTTTGTCTTTCTTAGGTCCTGTCCAGCTTTGCTAATAGGGCCTTGGGTGCAGGCTGTAGTCGACACGACAGGCAGCTCTAGGATTTGCCCAGTGTAGCACTTAGTGTGGATGGGTCTAATCTTAACACTGTCGTGTACAGGCAGCGAAGTAGCTGAACATATTTGATAGGGTTCTCTGAAAATTCATTGCTTTTTTTGGTGCTGAGAAGAGAGGTTGCACCATTTTAGGCTAAAATGGGGACTCCTTCAGTGGCTCTGCGAATGTGGTATGTGCTGACTGAATGATCAGTGTGAATTTTAGGCAATCTTCACTTGAGGCAGCCTGTCCCTCTTGGGAGATCCCCGTGTCTCTAGCTCAGCCAAGCGGTCCAAGTTTGGTCCCTCAGTCAGTGTTAACGTTTCATGCAGGCGTCATTTTGTCTTGCAGCGAGACAGCGCTTTACCCAAGACTTTACCCAACACACAAGCTTCAAACAATATTCATAAGAGAGATGTCACAGGCCGTGTGAGAAATGTATGTTGTGCTCTTTTGGTGGAAAGAGCTGCTTTACCAATACAGGAATACGGGACAGCTCTGAGTTAAGCGGAGTTGGAGTCAATGGAGGGGACTCTATATCAGGGCCTTTGCACAACATGAACCGTGTTGTCTAGAGGCATGGGAAACAGATGCATCGAGAAGGGGCTGTGCCCCTCTAAAGAGGAGCAGGGTCATGCAGTATATTTCTAGCTCAGTGACACAGCCAGATCAGAGCTCCAGAGCCTTAATTTTCTATTGAGCAGTGTGAAGAGAGCTGCACATCTAAGCGACAGAAACAGTGGCACCACTTACCTGAAACGTGCCAGGTTTTCTGTGCTTCTCTGGACCTGCTTGCTCATTCTCACCCGGTAAGCCCGTAGAAGATGAATGTGGCAGCCGCTGGCCGTTCCTTTCCGGGGACAAATGGCAAAGCTTGTGCTGCCTGTGTGTTTTTACTGCTTGCTGTCTGCAGGGTCCATACATAAGCTGGGAGACTATGAATAGAGTGCAACTGGTAAGGGGTCAGGTAGAGTGAATCACAACTCCTGGCTTAGATGGGCAGAAGTGCTTGCTAAAAGAATAAAAGTGTGTGTGTGTTAAGATCCAAGTTCAGTATCAGGGTCCCCAGGCTGTGCAGAGTGAAAAGCTACCAGCGAGTATATCTTGACTTAGAAGAAGAGGATGAAAATCATCTCACCAGCCAGGACTCAGATTCAGAGTCTCTGCTGCTGTTAACGATATCACAGATGCTTGGAGCAGGGCAAGGGAAACAGCTTCTTGTTCTGCTTTAGACATTAGCCCAAGTGCAACAGTAAGATTCGAAGCAGCTCATAAGTAGACCCTCTTTCAGTTCCCTTTGACAGAAAAATACTTTAAGCACAAATGGTGTTTAACAATTTTTAAGGGAGGCTGGGGAAAGCCTCTTGATTTCAGAGCTGGGTTGGTTTTCCTAAGACTAAGGAACGTAATTGTGCTATCACAGCTCTTAGGGTAAAGCATTAATCCTAATCACCTGCCTAATTCTGAGAAAGTTTGGGGAGGTGCTGGCCCCTGACGGGGTACATAGAAAACCTCAGTTGAGCATACTCTAGTTATAAAAGCAGAGTATATCATTCATACGTGCGAACGGTTCCAGAAGGGGCTGTTCAGACAGACTACCTTTCCTGCTGTGGTAATAAGAGGAGCTTCCAGCCAAGGCAGGGAAGGAAATTCAAGTCTAATCCAATTCCCCAAATGATATGCTTTTAATTAAGAAGTCAATTCCGGCGTGTGTTTATATCTGTCTGTCTCTGTTTTGCTTGCCTATCTGTCAAGCTTCCTTGTTGTATTACTTTGGACATGGAACCAGAAATGTGATCTCAAGTAGGCAACATAAATTCTTCGTGAAGGGAAGGTGCTGAGCTGAGTTTCCGCATCGGCCCCACGTTTTCGGTAAGAGACTTGACGGGGATCACACGCCGCCTGCGGAGAAGTCGCTCGAGGTGCAGTTGCAGTGCAGAGGGGCACACAGGAGACAGAAAGCAGTATAAATCCGAGTCTAGAACAGCTGACTGCCCAGTGCTGGGCAATGGCATTTGAAAACTCGTACTGACTTTTTGTTCGGCAAATCCCTGAAGCCCCCAAAACTAGTGCTGGTAACCAGTGCCACACTCCCATCTCCCCTCCCATTTCTGAGGCCACTATCCTACCCAGGTCCTCATCCTCTTTCATTCGACAAGTCTCGGGGCAACACTTGATCTCAATGCAGGCAGAGTTTGCAATGCTACTGCTCGGAGCCAACACTGAAGTCTTGTCCATGCACTGGCTTTTGTCACAGACTGGGCCCTGGCAGAAACCTTCTGTAGCACGAACCAGATCTCTAAAATAGCCCTCCTGTTTGCTAATGCTGAGCAGCTGTGCATTCAGCAAGACATCAGACAATCCTGGGTGAAAGTTTCCTTTCTGATTTTGTTTTTCATTAAGCCCCATGGGGGAACGCACCTTCCAAAGAGTTTGCTGCTCAGAGGGGTTGGGTTTTTTTGGCAATAGCTCAGCCATCTCTCGAGGCTCTTTGGAACCCCTATCATAAATTGATCTTGAAGCCAGTTTACCTCCCAAGAGATCCTGCCTTTTAGCGTTGGCTTGTGGCTGCCCAAGTTCCTGTCTCCAGCTAAGTTTGGTTTCACCGTTACGTCCTTCTAATCAGAGAAAAAGTCATTTTTGGTTCAGGAACAGCCAAAGAACTTGCAGAAAATGCCCTGATGAGGTCATCAAAGCTCATCTGAATGAAGGTAAGAGCCTCTCAAAGACACCTTTAACATGGATTAACTGTCTAATTCTGTGACTAAGAATGTCGGGGGGGCGGGGGGATAAAAGATGAGGCAAAGAAGCGAGACGGGGAATGGAGGAGTTACTTCAATCCGGAATTAGTGTTAGCACGTGCCCCAACATCAGTCCAAGTGAAAGGTATAGGCCAGCACCCCTGCGTGTTTGCAACGGAGCTTTTTACGATGCCTTGCACCGGATTCATAGTTGTTTTCTGACGTAAAAAGCAGAAACTCTGCAATCCGCTGTTGCACAAAGCACATTCACGTAGGTGGTGATCGTTGTAGTCTCATCCCGCAGAACACAGGCCTGAAGGTAGCTGCTTTATGACCATAAATATAGGTGCTGGAAAAGCCATCGGAGATTGGGTCCAGTGCACTGCCAAAGGAAGCAAGTGTCCGCGGGACATGCATACGCCCAGTTGACTTACACACGCACTGACACCCCGGCCCCATTCTGCCAATACTGTGGCCAGCAGCAGGAAAGCGTTGTCTTTCTCTGACCCTTGCGCTTCCTCGTTAAGGTGGTGAGGTTGTTCTGCCATCCCCCATGCATTGCTACACATGCAATGGGATGCTAATACTATGCACTGCAAGTCAAACCCAGGCTGGAAACGGTTGGGCCAGGACGTTATCCTGAAGACCCACTCCCTAGAACAGAAGAGAACGTGCAATTGCTCAAAGGGAGGGCATTAAAGAAGGACTCTCCCCTATCCCACTAATTTGCTTCCACCCTTCCTCCTGTAGCCACGTCTCCAACGCCGCAGCATGGCAGTGTTACATGCTCTCTCTCCTGGAATTAAACTCGTATTATCTGTGTATTAAACCCTAATGTCAGTCTGTATGTGCTGATGTGCTGCTCCTTTGTGCCTGTGTTTTTGCAGCTGTTCTGTCTTAAGAGGTTCGATCAGTTCACGTTGTTCTCTCTTAAAATGAGAAAACCGGGGCTTCAGACAGGAGCCTGGTTGAGTTGTGGTTTGCTCTCCTAAGCCACTCTGCAGGGTTTGGGGGCCACGTTAAAATTATCCCAGCCCCTTTGGTGTAGGAAACCAGAAACGGGAGCCCTGGCTGGAGCAGACAGATTCTCGCTGTACTTCCTGAGTAGGTTCTACTGCCCGGGAGGAAGAGAGCCAGGAAAATGCTCACAAATGCCCTTTAAAAATATCCCTTCCCATCCAAGAGACATGTTTCCCTTGTCATTCAGATCGTGACTTGCTAATGGTGGCCCACTGATCTGCTTGCCTCTATGCGACAGCAAGACAGAGCGACTGCAAGAAGTCTGCGGGACCATCCCAGTCCCAGAATGTCACCCCGACCCCTGATCAGTATAAATGGGGAGATGTGAGCCTAATTGACCTTCCACCTTAATGAATAAGGATGCTTAGATATAGGAAAAGAAGAAATAAATGAGCTCCCAATATCCTTTCAACTTTGATTTGAGACCTTTCTGGCCTTTTAACCACCCGCCAGGTCAGTGGTAGTCCAAGCAGTGTGTGCCTAGGTGCCAGTGGATGACAATATTGCTTCCCCCTCTGTATTGTTCACCACTTGCAGCCCACCCCAAGGGCATCATCCCTGGGGAATTTGGACAGTGCATTGTATTTTCCCTTCCCCTCCATCATCTGTGCACTGAAGAAGACTGGGTGAGGGGCAGGGGAAATGCAGTGTAGCATGCCTGGCTAAGAAGCAGTCTCTTGGATGCTCTCTGGCCCCTTGATCTCCCCTCAGGAGGAAAAAGCAAGTTGTTCTCGAATTGTGACCAGTGCTCTGCTGCCCCTATGTTTAGGGGGGAAATGGGAATTATTCTAAAACACTGATGATTGCACTGCTGAGCTTTGCTTTATATAACTTGTTTTATAATTTGTCTTTGTTTCCATAGGTGCCTGATCTCTGCCAGTTAGCACAGCCCTGGCATGCTGCAAAGCCAGGCCTGGGGGACTCCTCAGACAGTATCTTCAACCCAAAAAAAGGAAGTTTCAGCTGGAGAAAGCACCTCAGATTATCATTGCCCTGCAAAAGTCCAGTGCATCCCAAAGTGTGAAAGCTGTTCAGACCCACCTTCTCCCCTGCGCAGGAGCTTGATCCTTTGCTTTCAACAGGCTTCTGTCTCCTGAGGATGGTTTGAGGTGGAAACCCTTTTGAACCTATTTTAAAACAATGACAAAGGTATCTTAGAAACCCAAGCCTTGGGACTGAACTGCCTGTTGACTCTGGGGGATGGCGGTTTCTCTCAGGTGGAAATCTGAGCTTACCTTTTTTTTTTTTTTAGTTAAAAAAAGAAAAGTGTTTCTGTGTGTGTGTCTCATCTGTAATATTTTGTGCACGCACATGTTATGTACTCGATATATAACATGGTTTACATATATTTTCTAATGGCTCTAGGGCTTTGCAGGTGGGTATGACAAAGAAGTGCCGATCACGTATGGAGACTAGGTTACTGGCCTCCGAGAGGAAAAGCCCCGCGGGGAGGTGAAGTGTTTCTTTGGTTGCCTGGGTGTTTCGGAGGCTTTGGAGGCAGCGGTGACAACGGACTTGCCACTAGGTGGTAGCATCTGACTCAAAGTGCATTTGAGGTTTGGGCATTTCTCGCTGTGGACTTCTACTCAGAAGGAAGCATCCATGAGGTCAAGACAAGCTGTTTCTCCTGCCTAGGTGGATGGCAGACGCTCTGAGCGATCAGGAGGAAAAGCAAGAAATGCACCAAGCCCTTGGGACAAGAATAACCCTCCCCTGAAAGAGCCTCGTTCTCATCCCCTTAACTCAGGTGACGTATACAGTCAGGGAAGATTAGCCATTGCGGTACCTGAGAGGTGAAGATACCAGGAGAGCTTTACTAGACACCAAGGAGGAACAGAGAAGTCACCTTCTCCGTCATGAGACGGGTGGGATTCATTCCCTCGTGGGCCTGGGACCCCATGATTTGGGCCCGCGGTGCCCGCTCCTCCTTCAGGACAAGAAGACGTAGCGGGAGCCTGGCCTCAGGGCAAGATATTGTAGGGAAGTGCTAAGCACCAGCGTGACTTTGGCATGCTCTCTGTGCCATGTTACATGCGTGTATGTGCACTCGTGCTGCCTCTCTACCATCTGTGCTGGCAATTGTTGAATGTTTTTATATGTTGAAAAGTGCATTGAAGTGCAAAATAAATACGTAACTGTGTGGCAGTGTCTGCTGCTTGCTCTTGGCCTCTCTTCTGTTCTGTGTATCAGCCGCTGTGTGCATCTCTTCTTTGTCTCCCCTGGCAGTCGGGAGGATTCCCAAGCTGCTTTGTGATGATGGCAGTGTCAGGAAGTGCAGCCAAGGAAACCAGCAGCTCTTCTAGAGGGCACAAGAACAAGTTGCA